GAGGCGGATCCACCGCGGCCGGCGGCCTCGCACCCCCGGCCAGAGCCGGGACACAGCTCCCGCTGCGGGGAACGCTTACAACCGTGTGCCGGGTGACAGCGGTGACGCCGCGGGAAGCCAAAGTCACCCCAGTGCCCAGCCAGCAGTGCGGGGTCCCAAGAACCCCGTCCATCTGCGGCAGAATTCGTTTGGAGACGAGAGCACTCCTGATGGCTTCTCTGATCCTCTTTGAGTTCACAATGTGAGCGGCAAATACCGTTTAGCAAATAAAGAAAATGAATAGCTGGGGTATTGCTCTGACTTGCTTGCAAATCAAAACCTGAAGCTCCAGGTATGAATCCATGCAACCAGAAAGCAATCCTGGACCTGTGCTGGTTCTGAAAAACATTCTGGTGAGTCTATGCAGATGGATTAGGCCTTGTGGTCTGTATAAAATAGGTGTAAAACAAGCTCTGCCAGCAGGAGTTGAACAATTCATTAGTGTAGCAATGGATAACAAAAAAAAGGTTTCCATGGTAGCAGCAAAAAAGAAAGATTTGCACCAGAAAGACTGGAGGTTTGCTGTTAGGGGTTTTTTGTTGATTTTTGGGACCTTCTACCCAAGCAAGCAAGAATCAGACTGACTGGACAACAAGTATGGCAGAAGCAGCATCTGTAGCCCAACATAGCCAAATGCCCCCGAAATACTGTGCTTCTTGCAAATGAAGCCTAACTGGGTTCAGCTGCTAACAGATCATCATTGCATTATTGTTCCATGTTAACCAGTCAGTTAGATAACACTGGTAGTGACCACCACAGTGCTGACACTTCAGCTTGTATTATACTCCAGAGAAGCAGAAGACTGGCATTCAGACCCAGTTTTCCACCAAGACCAAGAGAAGGTAAACTCCAGCTGGTGGTGAGTGGTAGATGATCAGCAACCACCTTGTCTCTGAGAGAGGACTCTTGATTTGGCAGCTGGCAGAGGTGAGGCTCTTGGGCATCTCCTGCCCCAGAAAGTCCCAGATTTCCCTGTCAGCTGCAGACTGCACAAACGGCAGGTGAGGCTGTGTTGTGGTTTAACTAGTGGCGGGATGCCTTCAGCTGCCCACCGTGCCTGAGCCTGCACCGCCATCTTGCTGGCCACAATGGACTTGTCTGGAGAGAGAGAGCAGCTAAAAGGAGGGCAGAAGCTCCTGAAGGAGGCTATTCATCAGTGTCCATTGGCCATTCCTGCATTCTGGCAGCCTCAGTTTCTTTCCACCTGCAGAGTGAACACCCATGTTTTCACACCAAGTCCCATATTGCAGAGTATGTGAACTCAGAGCCACTGAATACCAACTCATCACCTGCTCCTGTAACACCGTGGTCCCGGAGCTGTCATGGGATCATTCAGCTGAAGGTTAAGCCACCTTATCTGCTTATTATTGCATATTTCTGCTGCCTCATCCACTAGCAAACTTGCCATCCAGTGGTGTCAGATGTACACTTACTGGGGGTGGTATTACAGGACTGAAAATCAGATAGCACTAGAGAGATCTTTTCCTGAGCAGTTATTATACACCTCTGTAAGGTAACAGATACAACGGTGCTCCAAAGCTGGGCTTACAAAAACACAAAAGACCATTTTTTTTATTCAAAACAACCTGCCTCTCCATTACTGGCTCAAAACAGCCTCTTTCCTCCAGCATTCCTTCACGTCAGAGAAGTCTGTGCTGCTGACATTTTTAACTTGGGGTGCACGCGACTGATTATGGATAGTCTGTGGGATGGAAGTAAATGCTGAACTCATTAAGGCAATGCAAGTCAGGAATTATTCTACCAAGAACATCAGAGCCAGATTTAAGGATCAGCTCCAGTTTGCAAACTCTATTGCTCTAACGTGGCTAGGTAGCACCATGAAGCCATCGTGGGAAATACTTCGCTTTTCAGTGAAACAAAACATTTCTGTTCGGATGCTTCCTACGTGAAGGAAGGGCCCTGTCAGGGTAATGAAGTGCTTAATTAAAAGTACACTCAGACATGCAAATGGCCTTGGATACTCTGACTTCTAAGAGAAATATTTTAAAAGCCTTGTCAAAGCTTTAACGAAACAGTTCTTGGGAGCCCTTATTAACAAAGCAATGAAAGATAAAGCAGTAAACGTTAATGAGTAAAGGCCCTAGACTTACCTCAGGATAAGACCATTCTGGTGAATAATCCGTCACCATGAACAAGCGCCCACTCTGCTGTAGCAACCCCAAAGTGCCTTGTGCCGCAGCTGCTGAGACCACCTCAGCCACATGCATGTACGCCATCGTGCTGGCTCCGTTCTCTGTGCTGCTGAGCTGCATGTTGGCTTGCTGAGGACTGCAGCAAGGAATGCACATTTCAGCCTGGTTGTAGGTTGCTCTGTTACTGTCTTCAGGCTGAGACAGTCCGGCACTGTCACCTGACACCAGCTGGTGTCCATAGAGAGCATTGCTCCCACCTTCTACCGATATGAAATCATTAATTAGATCAGAAAACTGGTTGCTGAAGGAGATATCAAAGTGGTCCAAGTTAAGCTCCATGTTGGAGGAGTTATTTAAGCTGGGATGGGCCACAGGATAGAGTCCTTGTACCATGTTTCCTTGGAGAATAGGGAGATTGTTCCCATTCCTGATACCCCCGTTGGCCTCAGGCTGCAAATAGTGTTCTGTGCTGCAGGCTTGAAGATCCCCTGATTTAAGTAGATTTTCATTCCCTTCCGCCTGCTGGGAGGTCTCCATGGGAACTTCAGCTTCTGCAGTCATAGCCTGGAAGTTTGCTTGGAACTGCATGAGCTGGAGAGAAGAGGTGGACTCTATTCTGGTTTCCACTGTGCCGTTACAGTTGGAAGTGGTTTGGGATGAGGACTCTGTTTTCACACTGGGGATTCCTAACGTGTTCACAAATGAGCCACTTGTGTCATTCAAATTGTTGTGAGTGTTTTGCTCAAGGGGAAGAGGTTTGCTGGCATCCTGCAGAAAGAAGCTGGGGGAAGGGGTCTGATGAACGTGAGGACTCTGGACGGTCTGACTGAAGCTGGAAGAATAGTCCTTGTTGGAGTCAATGGCACTGAAGTCCATCTGCTCCAGGGTGGTACTTGGGCTTAGACCTCCTCCAGATGGAAGCAAACCTGAACCAGTAGTGAGGGTGAGAGTGTTAGATGCAGAAGTGGAGGAAAATGCTTCTTTAGACATCTGTTGTTCAAAAGATGTGTCCTCAGTTTTAATTTCTTTTGTGAGGGTTGTATTGAAGTTGAAGCTACGTTCCGTTGTGGGTGACTGCCTTATATTGGTGCTGATGCTGTCACTTTTCATACCTCCTCCACCATAAGTCTGCCCTTGCTTGGGATTGTTAAGAAAACAGTCTGGGTCAAAATTCATGGTGGTTTCTGGAATTTTTCTATTTCCATCTAAAGTTGTGGAGAGCACAAGTTCCTCAGACACAGTGCTGGGTAGCATCGACAAGCTCTCTGAACTGCCAGTTGTTGGAAAAGCAAATTTGTGTCCATCTGAACTCACAGCAAGTACCAGTCCTTGTGCAGCTGCATCTGAGGACAGAAGGTGTTGATTTGGGCCAGAGGTGGGTGACATGGTATACACAGCTTCACTGGTGACTTCTGACATAAATACGGTGGCACTTTGTGACAAGCTTCCCATAACTGATGCTACAGCCATACTGGACACACCAGTGACAGCCGGGCTATCTGCCATATCCGGGTCGCTATTTAATCCACTGCTGATGGACACAGGAGAATTCTGGGTTGTGTCAGGGACCTCCACCTGGTTGGTGGAAGAAACCTCAGTGCTGTTTTGATGGAGCAACACCGGTTTTGCCACTTTGCCATTCCTCTTCTCTCGGCTGGAGGCCTTGCCATGACTGTGCTCGTTCTTGCCTTCAGAGACATCGTTATTTTGTACCTCTGAATGAGTGCTGTACCCACCTGTCCTTGGTTCGACCTTTGGTGATATGATGCGATGTTTGGCACTGTTACACTTGTGATGCACACTGCTTCCTGCCCCTGTGCCAGAAAACAACAACATTTGCCATTCAGTAAATACAAAATTAAGATGATGCTAGTTGTGTATCTTATGGCTGTAGCAAAGCAGAGCTGTGCTTATGCATGTGTGTGTGAGAGAGTGCGAGCACACATCTGAGAGAGCAAGAGAGACCTTGGAAATAAAATTAATTTCTCGCCAATGCCAGATTTACAGCTCCTTTTCCATCTAATGCATAGATCCATTGCATGCAATGACAGCAACCTCAAAACAGGCGCGTGTGCACCCTTTCCCTCACCCCGCATAGCACCTACCCTCTTCCTCCCTGCCCCATCAGACAACACGTTAGGAGGAGAGGAATCAGCATGTATAACAAGTTTTGGAGTTATTTAAACATGTCCAATCTCAGTGCAAAGTCTGCAAAGCGAGTGCAGTTGCTGTTAGCTGTGGCAGAAGGTTTCCACCTCGCAGGCCCTGCTTCATCTGCACCACGGACAAGACCTCAGGCCCCTGCGACACAGATGCTCGGCTCTTCACGTTGGCTGATAACGGGTGGTTTGACAACTGCTCTCGTGGGCTGGATGCTAAATGGTAATCTGGAGGTGACAGATGCCATATCATGCTCCTGTCCCTGGCATCACCCTGCCGCCTAGATTGCAACCCTGATCTTCTTGTCATCATTGTGTCTATTACAGCTGCCAATCAACTTATTAAAGAAGTAGTACATTAGCCAGCACAAAGAAAGCTTTCCGTCCCATAAGGATGGTGATGCATTTCTCTTGTTCTAAGCTGTTCATATGCTGACAGATAAACATTTTGTACTTTGAGAGGTTGCACGTAGAGCGCACGATTAGTATCGGAGTGGCTGAAGAACGCTCAAGCAAAGGTCACCAGAAGACAACCCTCCATGGGGTTCAACCAGCTGGCGCCTTTAGTGGCCTGACAGAAGGTGAACATCACTTGAGTTCCTGGGAGCTTGGAAACCAGGTAGGATGAAGTAAACAAGTCTGTCTGCAAAGGCATCTTAGCCACAAACTCTGGTGCAGGGATTGCTTTTGTTGTTTAAAGAACAGCCCATGAATTTTTGATGTTTCTTTCCTTAATTGATTCATTTTCCTTAGAATGAGGTAAGAACATTAATTATGGTACTGTATAATGACTAAAGGGGGAAAGAAACCTCCTCCTTATAGCTAATGGCTACAGTTATAAATGCCATCTTCTGGGTAACATAAAGCATCCGTGTAGCCGCTGCAATTTACTATATCTTTTGTTCCTTGCCCTTGAAGGGGAACTTCTCTATTATGTGCTCAAGATTTGAATCGGGTCGCTTAAAGTAGTTCAGGACAGTGCTTTTGAGACTAAATGCAATATTAAATCTCTCTATTCTCCTGGGTATAGAGATGAACAGGAACAAGGGAGAGGCTTTCACGCTGCTGTCTTTGCGGATGACAGTAAGGAATTGGGACTGTATGTGTCAATGTGCAAGCCGTTACAAAACAAAGCGATACTGTTATGTTAAAAAGCATGCAGCAGACTTAGCACAAGACAAAACATCAAAGGGAAGAATAAAAGGATTCATGTTCAGATCTGCAAGCCTGGATCAAATGCTGAGCCTTAAGGGTTGAATTTTAATCCAAACTTAGGTATTTCAGAGGTCATCATTCTTACTTAAATCTTGATTGTATAATGCAACTGCCCCAAAAAAAGAAGAAAAAATAAACCCTTTGAAGCACTGACAGCTTTCCTTTATAAATTTTGCTGAAGACTAATTAACGTGTCATATATTTTACTTGACCAAAGTACTAGGAAGGGGTTACTATAAAGTAGATGAGTTGGAAAAGTGAGTCACTCAGCTTCCCACTCTCTCTATAAAATGCTAATACTAAGGATGCTGTTTCTTGCTGTTGTAGTCTCACTCAAAACAAAGCCATCTTCTTTAACAGAAAAGCAATCTCCTGTATTTTCATGATACCTAAATAAAACCTGTCTTATCCCAGTGATACCTTGTAATTAACCACCTAAGCCCATTTTCTTCAGCAAAATGGGCTGCAGGGCAAGGAGTTCAGAGGGTGAAGTTGGAAGATCATCAAATTTTGAGGCTTCGGTAACAAAATTTGAGCACGTAGAAAAGAATATGCCTTTTTGAGCAGGTCACATATAGAGAGCATTTATTGGAACTTGCACGTTAAAGTGTTGACGTTTCTTCCAGAAGTTCCAGCTGCATCTTTTTATGCTCAAGACTTCTTCTGTCACCTCCGAGCTCATTGTGTCTCAACGTTTCACAATACAGCATTTTCAGTACTTCAGTACTGCAAACCCTACCCCAAGTCTACATTAAGCTGCTATCATTTTGTGCCCTCCCAAGGTACTCACCCAAGGTACCAGTGCAGAGACAGTTGTGTGTCCGAGGCTGTGGTTTGGTCTGGTGACTGTCGAGGATCTGCTGCACGAGCTGTTCCACCGAGAACCCTGAACTGCTGTTTCCATTGCTGCATGTCCACTTAATGCCATGAACTGCGAAGAGAACAGTAAAACATCCCATCAGAAACTTCAAAAACATGCCAGAAACCATCAAAAACCACTCCGAAAGAACAGCAGAAACCCATTCCTGCTGCTTTTTGTCAGAAATGAAGGAGACCTATAAAAAGCAACAGTAATGGTTATTGTTTTGCTATTCTCTGCTCCCTGATACCCATAAGCTTCCAAATGCAATTCCTGGATTAGGTACATACAGAGGAAAAAAACCTCAGTAGAATATCTTTCTCTGTTTCAGTTTGCTGTTAACGGTGGCTCTCTAAGCTTAAAAATTGTAAGGACTATCTGAATAGCGTATGTAACCTTCATTAAAAACCTGAAAGCAACAGAATACTTGTGTTTCATTGAAGTAAAACAGTACAATTCCAAGGAGCATTTTGGAATCTTTTTCTGTCCAATATGAAAACAAAATTAGTTAGTTTTATAATAAAATCAGCAGCCAAAAATATGCCAGTATAATAGCAAATACAAACCTTTTGCCAGGTCTTCATCGTCAGATCCTGGTTGGCAGCAGTGAAGACTGACTCATTTTTTGGGAGTCACTAACAGACACTGTGTGAGTTCCTCCTCAGACTTGGACAACTTTTTAGTAATTTGGGAAAATGGACAGGAGGGTGACGTTGCAGAACAAGTTGCAAGTTGAAGGTCTCTTTTCTTGGGAACTCTCTTGGTTTGTTAGCTATTTAAATAAGAATGCTAAACTGCATGCACATAAATTATTTGAATAAAGGCTCCCTCTCAATTTTTTAGATGCAGAATTTCACATAACAGTGATATTCTCAACCTGACTTACAATGGAAATAGCATTTATAAAATATTTTCTCCATAATAACTGACTCAAAGCATCTTCTGTCTCCTTTAACATCTGTCTAAGCAATTTATATGTGCGCATGTTATTTATTTATCCTCTGTATGCCCTAGAGCTCACTTGCAGATTTTGGAAAGCGCTGGTTGGGGGCAACATCATTTCCAAGATGTCCCCATGCCTGGTAGCTCAGGCCTGAAGAGCTGCTTCTTTTCAGGAATGTCTTTGTCATACTCTAGCAAAGCATGTTCCTTGCACATAGTATTCTAAAATCCTTAACCAGAATATACCGAATCAAAGTTAAAAGTCCCACAGGCTTCAACTTTGTAGGATTAAGTTCTAAATACACAGATACACAGACCCCTGCGTGGTGAAGGTCCTTGATGCGAGGTCATGAAATGCTGGCAACAGCACATTGGGCTGATAATCGCTATACAGCCAGAAGTATCTGCAGACTCTGGAGCAACAAGCTGTAAGCTGCTTCATGCAAGAAGATCAGAAGCAAATGAGGGCACATTTATGACAGCTAATGACCGTTGTCAAAGAGGCAAGATACCACGTGAATCTCCTATTTTCCTCTGTGATGCTGCTTATTTAGTATGTCATAAGCAGCCAGTGGAACAGAGTTCCTCGATCCGCTCTGTGAAGCAGTTTTATTGCTTTTTTTATCACCTGTTGCTGTGTTGCCTCATCACCCACTGATGTTACTTTGCCTAACAGCATCTCATCTTGGTCTAGTTTTATATTACAGAATTTGTATTTTTATTGGCTGGGCCGGATAACTTGCAGAAAAACTGTAAATAAGGTTTACAAGTATTCTTCCTCATATCACTATTTAAAGTGCTGCAGTTAGTTTAGTAATGAGTCCCTCTATGCTTGCTTGACAACCACATTTATTGTTATCGTACCCAACAGGATTTGCTTTCTAGTATGTTCACAATTTTGAATTTCCTCTTAACACTCAGTATCTGTTATTATGTCTAAGTTTAAGTTTATATACGCTTACCACTTCAGTACCTCCACTCGCATTCATTTTATTATTCTAGGTACGTTATTCTGTCACATGTGATGTTATGCCTAATAAGTGATCTTCAAATAGCAGTTTTGCAAAAAATACATTGACAGTGAGATTAAAATGCAGTAATGTATTTGGAATACTTTCAGCTAGACTATATAAAGTTACTGAACTGTAATTATTACTGAGAAACTTTGCATTAAGTTATTTCTGGTTACTTCAGAAATGCTTTGCTAAAGAAGTGAGCTCACATATGTGTTGCTAGGTATAGAAAGTCTATTTTACAGTAGTATGTCAGAGTTTGCTCCCTACTGCTGCTAAATCCCATGATGAGAAGCCTATTACGGGGGGAAGTCTGGTAAGTGAATCATGTTTCATGGTTTGTGTATTCATGATGATGGTTCTTAAGTCTGAATCAAGGTGTGAGCTGGAAGCTAAGAAATAACAAACAGCTTTATAGCTGGATACTTATAATACCATGCCTATTGTTTTCAGATCTTTCCAGCATAACAAAGTCCCATCATGGATCTATTGCTGCTGAGGAAAGGTCCTTCTCTAGCCTTGCTCCAGCTGATCCTAAAGGGCTCTGGCTCCAGCTTCTGTCCACGTGGTGCAACATTTTTTTAGTGCTTATGCTCCCCATATGTTATGAAGGTTATAAAATAAAGAGCCAGTGAAGGGTGACAGATTGCAAAAAAAGAACGTCTGGATGCTTAATGCAAATTATCCACTATTTTGGCATATCCAATATGCAGATTTTCTCCCTCCCCCTTTTAAAGAAAAACTCCTGTGAGCTGGCGAGTTGTTAGTACTGAATACCAAATACTATCAAGATGGCTTTTAACATGTCACGCTTGGCTTCCTGACACATAACGAATCAGCAGGAAAGGAGATTTCTACAGGGAAGAAAGTGCATTATGAAAGGAAGGTTAATAAAAAGTATACACACACACACACACACACAAAAATAACAAAACAACCTTCCTTTATTCTTTTTCTCAGTCCAGAAAAAGGCATGACCCTAAAATACTTCACCTTAAAGGTGGAAGGTTAAAAAGTATACACACACACACACACACACTCTTCCTGTTTCTTAGTGGTTTAAAAAGTGAAACCACTGTAGAACTACATTTGATTAAATATAGTCATAATGTAGGAACACAACAAAAAGGAAAAAAAAAAGATTGAAGCTTAACCAAAATTCTGGGAAGTATTTTAATCTGGATTTCTGTTCAGACTCCTCCTGCATTTCCTTATAATTTAAAATGAAAGCTGTGAACTGCTCCAACGCTTTCCTTTCCAATGATACCACGAACGAGTCTAAAAGCTGCTGCATTACAGCAGCAACATATTCCTTGTCACGCACCCTCTGCACAGTGCTTGTAGCATTGAGGCAGCAGAGCCGGGGAGAATTACTGGTATTCCACTGGGTGCTTGAAAAGGAGAAGTGAAGCTGGAGGAAGGTCCATGACTCAGAGTGCTAATGCTGCTCCTAGCAGAAATGCCTCCAACCTCTTTTTGTGAGCGTGGGCTCACACCTTTTTTCTCTTTCTTCCCTTTTGAAACGAAGACAACAAAAACGACCTTCCAATATTGGCACAGCAGCTCCCCATTCACTAGCGCTGTCAGGACTCTGTCTGACCATCATGATGTCGTGATTTAACCCCAGCCAGCAACTAAGCACCACACAGGCGCTTGCTCACCCTCCGCCCCCCCTGGTGGGATGGGGGAGAGAATCGGAAGAGTAAAAGTGAGAAAACTCGTGGGTTGAGATAAGAACAGTTTAATAACTGAACTAAAATAAAGTAAAATAGTAGTAGTAATAATAATAATAATAATAAAAGAGTATACAAAGCAAATGATGCACAATGCAATTGCTCACTACCCGCCCACCAATGCCCAACCAGTTCCCGAGGGATGGGGGAGAATCGGAAGAGTAAAAGTGAGAAAACTCGTGGGTTGAGAGAAGAACAGTTTAATAACTGAAAATAAAGTAAAATAGTAGGTAGCTTCTCAGTCGGTAGAGCATGGGAAGCTGAAAAGTCCTTGACTTAGTGTAAGCACTGCTCAGCAACAACTAAAACATCAGTGTGTTATCAACATTATTCTCATACTAAATCCAAAACACAGCAGTATACCAGCTACCAGGAAGAAAATTAACTCTATCCCAGCCAAAACCAGGACACATGAGCAAAGGAATGAAAAATTATCTAGATTACCAGCAAAAAGGCAGCTCAGAAGCCAAAGGAAACTCGTACATAGAAAAATAGGATTGTCCAGGTTTCTTACAACACCCTGGCTATCTCTGCCATCTTCTGCTGCTGGTGGTACTCAGTCCTCCACAATTACCAGGTCTGCAGTCCTCCAGTCTTGCAGATTATCTTCCTTCTCCCCATCACCTCAAGCCTACCTTGCTGCCTCATCGTCAGGCTAGACCGAACACCACCAATGGCTAAAACCCCAACCATTTCCCTCTCTGTGGTTTCCTCCACCCTAAGCAAAACTTCTCCCTAAAATACCTTCCCACATTTAAATCTTATAATTTCATTCTTTCTGAATGCTCTTCGATGTTCCTCTTTGCCATTTCATCCATGCCACTTCATCCATTCTACGCTTCCTATTTCTATTCCCAAGCTCTTGCTCTTCTGTATCCCACATGTACAACACAGCTTACACATATATGCATATGTATCCTACATAATGAAGCCATTCCCTATACCCTATGTGCTGCCTCTTTGCCCCATTTTGACAGGTAAGGGCCCGTCTTTTGTTTTTTGAGTAACAATGATGACATCTCCCACATGAAACAGATAAGTTGGATAGACTGACAGAGCTGGAATATTTGGAATAATCAAGGTCAGGTATCTGTTTGCCTCTCCCTCTTGATGTATCTTGGATGGCCCGCTGCAAACCCTTGCATCAGAGTCCTGCCCTCGGCTGCTCCCGACTGACACAAAACACTTTAAAAATCCTACAAGCGCTGACTGTAGCGCGACTGGGTCCTTTGTCCTACAGCCCTGCTGATGGGAATGAAAACCCGCCTTGCTTCCTACATCCCGCTCCACCAACTGTTGACACCGGGAGGCTGTTTCCATGGCAATGGTCAATTGGAAATGGCAGCTTTGTCCCTTCAATTTTCGCCGCGTTGGTGTTCACAGA